CCCACCACGCCCAGCTTCTAAATTCTTTAAAAGGGCAGGGCTATTGGCTCTTGGAATAATCAGAGACTTAAACTTAAACAAAACTACATAAATAATGCATACAGATAGGAGGTTGGTGTTTTGATATCCGAATATTCGTTTGATCTAATTTCTTTAAATTATTTGAATTCCACATTGTTAGGGCATTGTTTCTAGTCCAGAGGTAGACAAGCAGATTAATGGTAGGAGAGCTGAATGGTTGAAGAAAACTGAGATTCTTCCTTCACACCACAGAAATTTCACTTCTTGTGACATAGAAAAAATAAAAACAACACCCTTGAGTGTATATTTTGTAATTAGCTTTCTCTTATAATTCATGCCTACTTGTTTATCCAACTACCTCTACATCCATTAATGAATTCCTAAGTGTTAAACAAATGTTTGCAATCATAAATCAACAGGGAATTTGGAGACAAGTTCTCATTATATAGTTTAATCCTCCTGCCTCAGCTTCCCAAGGGAATTACAGTCCGCTCACATTGGCTTCATATATAAACGAAAAGCCTGCTTGGCCTGACCTCCAAGTGTCGGGCTCTCCTTACCTGAGCCCCTGGCCAGGCCTTTCTCTCTTCCTGGCTAGCCCAACCTTTTCAGGCACGCAGTTGGTTAGTGTGTTCTTAGAGGTGCACACCTGTCACCACCGTCAGATGCAAGGACGTCTGCACACTTGCAACAGGGAGCTGCACTGTCGGAGCGTCTGCTCCTGGTGCCTCCCATGGGCCCACAGCGGCAACCCCTTGTCCACTCTGCCGCCCAGAGTCACTCCTTCTGAGCTCTGCATATACACACAACCAAGCAAGGTCCAGTACGTGCGTCAAGCTCATGCTGTCTAGGGTAATGGTTTGAAGGTCCACCCAAGCTGCCACGGGTGAAGACCACCTCTCTCGCTGTTCTTGTGCCTGCCACACATTCCCAGCACCCTGAGGCGCTGTGGGCCTGGCCCCGGGGCATCCCTGTTGAGGGGAATGGTTGGCCTGTTTCCAAACTGACCACACTCTTTCTGTTTCATATTCCTGCCTGCATCGTAGGAAGGAGTATGTGCAATTGGGAGGGTTCCGGGACACGGGTCTGATCCCTTCCCCATTCTCATTATTTGTTATTGCCTTTCTTATTAAACCCTCCATGTGGGAGGCCGAGGCAGGAGGAACACAAGTCCTGCAAATAAAAAAAATCAGAACGTGACTGGTGGCATAGTTCAGCATGAAGACCTCAGGTTCCATCCCCAGTAGTGCAAATTAGTGAATGAACCATTTAATTGATTGTGGGTGCAAGGTATCTTATTATACTTTTTGATTTTTGTTTGCCTTTTTTCCCCCTTTCTTTTTCTTTTTTTTTTTTTTTTTGGGGGGGGTTGGGGGAAGCACCTCTAGCTTGCCAGGGAAGCGTTTATGCCACTGAGCTATCTCCCAGCCCTGCCCATGTTACTTTATTTCTTGGGTGTTTATTGCCTACATTTTCTTTATGGCAATGTCTGCTCAAATATTTTGCCCACTTTTTAATTTCTTTGTGTTGAAGGTAAGAGAGCTTCACGTGATCTGGAAAGCAAGCCTTTAGCAAATGCATGCTTTGCCTACCCTTCTCCCAAGCTGAGCACTGTTTCTTTACTTTCTATATGGTTCCTTGTGGTTTCTTTCTTTTTTCGTGGCGAAGGTGTTGAGGCAAGTCTCATTATGTAACTGAGGTTGGTCTTGAACTCACTACATACTCCAGGCTGGCCTCAAATTTACAAGGATCCTCCTGCCTCAGCCTACAAGTGCTAGGATTAAAGGCAACAGTCATCACATCCAGCCTGTATGGCATTCTTAAGAAGCACAGAGGATGTGGATGTGTTTGTGGTGGTTGTTGCTGCTGCTGTTTTTATGAGGCAAGAGAAGCACTGTGAATTCAAGGCCAACCTGAACTATACAGTGAGACCCCGTCTGGAAAAAAAAAAAGAGAGAGAGAGAGAGAGGCATGAAAATCTTTAATTTTGTGGAGCCCAATTATTTTATTTTATTTTATTTTATTTGTGTGTGTCCAGCTCAGCCCACCAGGGGGCGGGGCTGGCTGGCATGTGGTGCTGGGGGATTGAACCGTGGTCCCTGTGCTTTGCTAAGCTTGTTCTAAGTAGGTGCTTTAGACCACTGAGCCACCTCACCAGCCCAGAGCCCAATTATTTTAAATATGTTCCTATTTTGTCATTGTGATTTTAGTGTTAATAATCAAGAAAACAATTGCTTAATCCAAACTCCTAGAGACAACCTAGGGCCTCACGCGTACCAGACCCACTCTCTACACTGAACTCCACCCCCTGCCCTTTTATAGTTTGTTTGTTTTTTTAACTCTGAAATAGGGTCCCAGACTGACCTCAGACTTGTGGTCCTCCTGCCTCAGCCTTCAAAGTAGGTGGGATCATAGACAGGCACCACTGCATCTGATCTAAGGAGGGACATTCTGGCTTCTCACTCTCAGGAAAGAAAGCATCTGGATTTTCCCCAGCAAGTGTGATATTAGCTGGTTTTTATGAAGTTGTTCTTTAATCCTAGTTTGTTGAGTGCTCATACCATGAAAAGATATTAGATTCTCTTATGCATGTTGAAATGATCGTATTGTGTTTTTGTTTTATTCTATTAATGTGATATAGTGTGTTGATTTTGGTACTGGCACTCGAACTCAGGACCTTGCATTTGCCAGGCAGGTGCTATGCTGATGAGTTATATCCCTGTAGTGTGTTGATTTTCATGTGTCACACCAGCCTTGCATTCCTGGGATAAATTCAACTTGGTCACTGCAGATAACCTTTTTCTAGACCCAGTTTGCTAGAATTTTTTTGAGAATTTCTATGTCACTATTCCTGAGGGAATAGTGCTTTCTTCCTACAGTCAAGAGTAAGGCAAACTGGGCATGGTGGCACACTCCTGTAATCCCAGCACTTGAGAGGCTGAGGGCACATGAATCGCCATGAGGTTGAGGTCAGCTGGGGCCTCACATGCAAGTTCACGGCAATCCTTCTGTCTCAGCCTCTGGAGTGTTGGGATTATAGATGTGTACCACCATGCACAACTTCCTGTGATGTTTCTGTCTCATTTTTTGAATGAGGGTCACACCAGCCTTGTACAATGACTTAGCGAGTGTTCTTTCTGCTACTTTGCATCAGCATTTGACAGAACTGGTATTAATTCTTCCAAAATTTGGTAGAGTTCCCCAGGAAAGTCTCCTGATTTGAATTTTCCTCTGTGGGAGTTTTCTTATTCATTTGTTTACTTGTTAGAGGTTCATTCAGAATTTCTAGTTCTTCCCAAATCACGTTTAAAAGTTTGTGTCTTTCTAGGATTGTATCCAGCTCATTGGAGTATCTAATCTGCGAGCATATACTTGTTAATAGTTCTGCCTTATAATTTTCTTATTTAGGGAAGCTTGGTTGTGATTCCATTTTTCCTCCTGATTTCATCTTTTCTCCTCTTGTTTCATCAACACAGCCAAAGGTTCATCAATTCTGTTGATCTCCTTATAAAAACAAGTAGGATAGTTTACTTTCTCTTTTTTTCTGTTATTTATATCCTTTCTAGTCTTCTATTAATTTGTGTTTGTTGTGGCTCTATTTTGCTCTTACTTTTCTAACTTCTGAGAAACAAAGTTAGATTATTAATCTGTGATTTTTTTATGTATTTAGTACAGGGTCTATAAGTTCTCACTACACAGATCGAACTCATAGTCAGCCTCCTGTTTTCAGCCTCCCTAGTGCTGGGAATACGGCTGGGTGCCACCACACCCAGTAGCAATTTCCATCTACTCGAGGCCCAAGGCCTGGGGTCGGGGTTGGCACGGCACTCTGAGGATAGAACTCTGGTCCTTGCCCCTGCCTAAGCAGGTGCTTCAGTCCACTGAGCTATCTGTCTGGCCCAATCTGTGATCTTTGACATTTTCTAATATAGGTGTTCTTAGTTCTATGTTTTGGAATCTTGTTTTTGCTCTAATTCTCATCAAGGCATTTTCTGATTTTTCTTATTTCTTCTTGCCATATATGCTGTTTAGGAGTGTACTGTTTAATCACCACATACTGGAGAATGTCCTGAGTTGCCTTTTTTTCTTTTTTCTTTTTGAGACAGGGTCTTGCTATGCAGCTCAGGTTGGCCTTGAGCTGACTTTGCAGCCCAGACTGACCCTAAACTCACAACAATCCTCCTTCCTCAGCCTCCTGAGTGCTAGGATTACAGGTATATATACCACCACACCCAGCCTAAATTGCCCTTTGTACTTGTTTTCTTTTTGCAGTACTAGGGATTGAACATCGAGCCTTCACACTGATCCTCCTGCGTCAGCCTCCCAGAGTGCTAAGATTGTAGGCCTGTGCTGTAACAGCCAGCTTGTTCTGATTTCTGATTTCTTTCCGCTGTGGTTAGAGCAGATATTTTGTACAATTTCAGCCTTGGAAAATTCGCTGAGGTTTGTTTTATGGCTGAACTGCTGGTGGATCCTGGAAAATGTTCCACATGCACTGGAGAAGACTCGAGCTGCCCTGCTGCAGGCTGACGTAACTCCCACACATCAGTGTGGCCTGGTTGATTTCCACGGGCCTTCAGGATTTCCGTGGGATCTACCTACTTTCCTACCAACCAGGGATGAGGGCTGAAGTGTTCGGCTATTTTTGTTGAATTGCCTGTTTCTCCCTTAGGTCTGTCAGGTTTTGTTTCATGTACTTTGAAATCATTTTTTTCCTTTTCACAACTGTGAATTGGACCTACAGCCTTGACAATGGGCTAAATCCTCAGCTCTTTTTAAATTATTTTGAGACAAGGTCTAGCTAAGTTGCTCAGGCTGAGCTTGAACTTACAGTCCTCCTGCCTCTGCCGCCCAGAGTACTGGAACTGCAGGTGTGCCTGACTACACCTGGCCTACAATTGTTTTTCTGATTTGTTGACCATTTTATCATTAAATGTCCTTGCTTGTCTTTGATGTCACTTTTGCCTTAAAATCTACTTTGTCTGATAGTAGTATAGTTATTTTAGCTCTTTTGGATGCTGGTTATATGATATGTCTTTTTCTATTCTTTTACTTTACACAATCTATTTCTGTTCTAAGGAAAAAGCCTTAACTTAAAAATGAAATCCCAGGGATGAGACACAATGGTGCACTCCTGTAATACCAGCACTTGAGAGGCTGAGGCGGGAGGATTATCAAAGGTGAGCCTGGGCTACATAGTGAGTTCAGGGTCAGCCTGAGCTGCACAGCAAGACTGTATCTCAAAAACCAAAACAAAGACTGTGTCTCAAAAACCAAACCAAAACATTATCTCACTTTTAACTCAGAAGGATTCATTCGATGAGCTCAGATTTGACCTGCACTCAGTTACCTTCCAAAGGTTCACAGTTGTGTTCATGTCCCATCAGCAGGGCAAGGATCCCTGAGCAAGGAGGTCTGCTCTGGAGGGGCTGTACCATGTCTCCAACGCCCTGAGGACAAGCCGCACAAAAAGGGAAACACTATAAGGTAACTAATTCCACACGGCAAAGTCCCCTCAGTCCTCCAAGTGCACAGTGTGCAGGACGCCTGTGTGGAGCTCACTGGCTGCTCTGGTCCAGTGATGGGTCTATTTTATAGCCTTCAGTGACACAAACAGCCTGCTGGGTGCTGTGGCCTCACCCCCATTGCTTCAGTCTTCAGGGAAGTGCCGCCCAACAGATACAGGGTTTCTAGTAGCCATATTTAAATAAGAAAAAGGAAAAGAACAGTGAATAAAGGAAGTAGGTAAAATGATGAACATTTAATAATAGTTGAATTAGCTACTATAATTATATTTTAACACATGAATGATATGAAATTGTTATAATCATTAATTTCCTCTTACTATTTAGAATTTAGCGTGCATCTTACACTTCAGGTCCTTGTGGAAAGAGCTATATCTCCCCAGCCACAAGGGCCACAGGCTACCCCAATGTAACTGGAGCATTTAACTCTGGGACTGGGTTTAAAATGTTCTGCGGTGATCAAATCTAGTTTGAATTTTTTTTTTCTTAAACCTGGTGTGATCATATACACCTGTAATGCCAGCACTTGGGAGGCTGAAGCAGGAAGATTGCTGTTGAGTTTGAGCACATCCTGGGCTATACACTGAGTTGAAGGTCAGGCTGACCTACATTTTGAGACTCTACCTTAAAAACAAAAAATAGAAAGGGCTGGGAATATAGCTCAGTGACACAGCACCTGCCTGGTAAGCACAAGGTCCTGAGTTCAATTTCTGGTACAAAAATGGAAAGAACAAAACAAAAACAAAACAAACAAATCTCCAAGGAGCTATTTCAGTGGCATAAGCACCTGCCTGGCAAGTGTAAGGTCCTGAGTTCAATACCTGGTACCAAGGGGGGGGGGCACCAGAACAAACATTTTTTTTTCTTAGCCACAGATTTTTTTATAGAAAAAAATCATTATTATACATTCCTATAACATAACTGCTTATGTATGGGAGTATACAACTGCAATAATCTACCAGGTAGACACACAATCAGAATTATAGTGACAGATTTTAAGGATTTCAATTTGGACTAGTGATGAGAGGTAACATTTGAGGCTTAGTGACATCAAGCAGTCACTCAGGACCACACAACTAGTAACAGGCTAAAGATCCAGACCTGCTAGATTCAAGGTCAAAGCTCTGGATTTTCTTGCTTTTGCATTTATTTATTTTGGAGACACAGTCTTGCTCTGCAGTTCAGGCTGGCCCCGAGCTCACCATATAGCCCGGCTGGCCTCTTATTCAAGGCAATCTTCTTGCCTCAGCCTCCCCAGTGCTGGGATTACAGGCTTGCATGCACTTCCCCGCCCAGGAAGGCTGTTAATCTTCTACCA